GGGAGTAGGGAAGGAGGAGGTGGTGGGAGAGACGGACAAAGTGACAGACAAACAGGAGAAGAGAGACAGAAAGACAGACAGACAGACAAACAGAGAGAAAGAAAGAAAGACAGAGTGACGGAGGGATAAAGAAATAGATAAGAATAAGATAGAGAGAGAGGGAACGATTAAAAATAAAAAACAACAAGCCAAAAAAAAAACCCACTTCATTGCACAATACTCATGATTTGCTGAATAATTTCCAACGGTCTGCTGAATAATTTCCAACGTTTTGTGCCGAGAATGAGTTCCTCTTTATGGCAGTTAAATGTTCATGGCAGTATTTGTCAATTTCAGACAGAAATTTTTCCAAACTTTTCCATCCCCCAGAGATGACCTCTTCCCATTTTGTAAGTCTTGCTTCCAGAAAATGTTTTTGTTCACGTCTACTTTTTCTTCTCCTCGTTCCAGATTAGAGACAGACACAGACACAATCATTAGACCTGTAAACTCATTTGTGATAAGATATTACAAGTTTTCCTCAACATCCTCCCAAAAAAAATACTAGTTTGGGGGAAAAATTTGAGTTTCAAGACCCCCCCACCCCTGCCCCCCTACCACCCACCAGATTAAGATCATGCAACACACAGTGGCCAATATCATATATATAGCAAATACATGCAAATAAACACAAATTAAAACATGTATTTTCAGTTCATTAATGATTAACTGCATACAACCTGATGAAAATGGAATTCAAGGGAAGAAATTGAATTTTATGCAAATCTGATCAGGATTTTTCCATGAGGGGAAAAAAATTTGAAAGAGCTGCAACTATATCAGCATACTTGGTGGGTCTGGATTATGGTTGCCACCTCTTGTAATATCTACCTACCTTGAAAAAGATGAAAAAGTAAAAGGCGATGCCAAAGACGATGGCGAAGAAGGCATTGCCCAGGTAGTTGCACAGGTTGAAGATGAAGTTGACCAAAGTGGGGAAGTCGATGGTCAGCCGGCCGGCTCTCTTGTTCCAGACGTAGGTGCGGTAGCCGGCAAAGATGACGGCAAAACAGCTGAGGGTACCCGTGGCAATCTGGAAGCTGCGGGTGTAGTCCTCCTGAGTCATTGTGTAGCTCACCGAGAACTTCAGCTGATACGGACAAAAGAAGGAACAGAAAGAAAAAAAATCTTAAGGGCAACACACGGGTTTTGGGGAGCCCGTTTGGGTCCAGACAGTGCTTTTTGGGTTTTAAGAAACTTCCCTTGAAAATTATGAGCAAATCAAATGGAATTACTCTCAAAGCTCTATTTCAAAGAGATAGCTCCATAAAGTTTGCATACAACGCAATTTTGAGATGTTTTTGCTCTTTTCCTCAAAATGTTCATTTCTTGGCTTTAAAAGCTAAAAACTCCAAAACCATTCAAGATAACAACATGAAATTTGGAGGGAAAGTGCACCATGCAATTTCAAAAGAATTGACGCTAGGTTTTTCCAATTTTTGAAAAAATATATTTTTTACGATTTTTTAAATTTGCTATTTTGACTATTTTTGTTATTCGCTAATGTGCGAATCTTCTAAAAGTAATAAAATTATTAATATTTACAATTCCAAGAAAACCTAGCATCATTTTCTTAAGATTTGTGTGCAGATTACAAATTTGTAATTAGTTCATAGATAGCATGGGTTGTGTTGGAGTTTTTAGCTTTTGAAAATGGTCCTTCAGAGAGCTCAGTTTCACTCTAATTTGCTATTTCTGTGATTATGTAACTGATAATGATTCCCAGCTCTGAATATTTTTAATCCTTGAAGGGAATACAATGAGAAAATGAGAAAAAAACAAGTAAAAATCACTTAATTGAAGATTTTGGTGCTAAGAAGTAAAGTGTGGCCTTAATAAAAACACTTTGAGAACAATGTGTCAGTTCCCTTTTTCTACAAAGCTGTTTTCCATTTTCATGCTTCGCCTGGGAGATAAAGACGAAGGGAGAAAAAGGTACCTAAAAGTATGTTTTGTAACACTGTATCCATTCCTTTTTTTTAAATAAACCTGTCTCCTTCTGTTGTCTTGCTTCATCTCAGGTAAAAACAAGAAATGCCACAAAGCAATGTATCAGCCACCATTCATGGCTTGGCACAATGTCTGGACGGACGGAATCAAAGCAGCTCCACTCCTGAATTACCAACATTTTGCACATAGGCAAGTCCAATATCAGTATAAACTACAGTTAAAATTAAACAAAACATAACATTAAGTCCAATATCTGTATAAACTACAGTTTAAATCAAACAATTCATTAAATAAAGTCCAATATCCGTGTACCCTACAGTTTAAATCAAACAACACATTATGTAACGTCCAATATCTGTGCAGTCATGCTCTAGATAGGTCTCTGGTTTCTTACAATTTTTTCTTCAACAAGCAACGCCCCCCCCCC